CTCTCTCTCTCTCTCTCTCTCTCTCTCTCTCTCTCTCTCTACAGGTTGAGATAAAAGACGGCAAAACCCAAAGTGGCAGACGACCCGGCGACGGAGGAGGAACTGTACGTATAAGATACGAGTCAGATTCCTTGCTTACAGCGCCGAAAAAGTTATCAGATGAAAGCACCGTCTGCTCCACTGCCAATCAAGTCTTCACCTCAATTCTTGCCCATAAAATATTACGCCCGAACGGCGTTGACCGGATGCAGCTCCATTGATGTACAGAAATCAAAAAGTCGTCTCTGACTTATTCTGTCTCTCTCTTCTTTAACTCCCGAAGTATCTCGAGTGCGTGCGAACGGCTGTAACCCTCCCCCACCCTGTCTCGCTTATCATCATCTTTGGTATCTTGTGTGTTTGGAGAAGTTCTGCTTCGACGGTTGACCGGAGTTCAAGCACGCCGAAGCTGAAGGATGATTGCGTTGGGTACTCTTTGACTTCCATCTTGTTGTCCCCACCATGCACGCAGCATCATCCTTCGGTTGCCAAAAGTCTTCCTTCGGAACCCACACCGGGTGATGCCACGTGAGAATGAGGATATTTGGGTGGGTCCCTCGATGATTGTGGCCAGTTACCTTCTTTTCGTGGGATGCCTGACGTCACATGACAATTGGTAGCCAAGGATTTTTTTGTCTGACTAGGAGGCCACATGTCCGGATGTGATTGGAGACGAATATTTTCCATACCAGTATGCATGAACAAACTAAATAATTGAAGGATATATATACTACTAAAATTTAAAAGGGGCAAATATGTTATTTTCAAACTTCAAGAGTATAAATATGTGAATGGATCTGGATGATCCGCTAACCCGACACCGCAGCAACAGAAGTATGGAATCACGTTGACCAAACTATTGGATCGAATCGTAATTCTCGATCAATACGCAGATCCAATATGCTGTAGCTGATATGTTACTGCTCACATTTAGATCTGCATTTGAGTTCGTACTTCCTAATCGATGGATCCAACCCAATAGCACACCGGAAGCAATACACACTCGACTCGGTCCATGACAGATGTGTGCATGTGGTTTTTCCTGAAGAATTAGATTACGAGGAGGAGGAACATGCCAAGTTTGATACTTCAAAGGATAGGAATGAGTCCCATGTAATGTGTTGACATACAACCTAAGGAGTGTCCAATATAATAATAGAATTTAACGTTGTCATCAGGGTTGACTTGAGCAAGAGAGGAGAACAGCAGTTCATGAACGTTGTATAGCATTATGTCATGTGTTATGACAGCTTGTCGGAACAACTCATCACTTCTAATTAATCATTGAGAATAAAAAATGACGGAAAATTTGATAAGGTCAACATGTAGAATTGTTGACCCACACATTTGGTTATGCTTTGCTTACACGATTGGTAATAAGCAGATTAGCAGTACGTGACACAGCAGCAGCGTTTCAAGATCATTATGTCGGCCGGGAGCAGCTGACACTTTGACTCTCACTTCGAACCGGTTGGTCTTCCATGGCGCAAAAGTCAACGGCGTGTAGGATTTCCCACGGCTGGTCAATTAAATCGAGAGAATGACAGCTGCTGAGATCATTATTGTTTTATATCAGTGATTAAATAAGGGATGTGATTCAGCCACGTCGATCGCGATCATTTTAATACATGTGATAAAAGTATTGCTATTATCATTGCAGCATGCTGTAGTACAGAGAGAAGTCCGCATGCCGTGACACGTGGCACAGTGCTGTTACCTATAAATAGCGCAGCAGCGCGTCACCAAACTGCACCAAGTCTCTCCCTCAACAAGAAGAAGAAGAAGAAGAACCTACTCTCCTTTTGAGGGACAAAAACCTACTCTCCTCTTCCTCTCACTCCTCCTCCGCGGTGTCAATATACTTATGGCCACGACGAGTGCGTGTCCGACACCGTCGACGGTGACGTCGAATGGGTCGTGGGACGGGGACAACCCACTGCACCACGCGCTGCCGCTCATCATCCTCCAGATCTGCCTGGTGGTGGTCGTCACCCGAGCCCTCGCCTTCGTCCTCCGCCCCCTCCGCCAGCCCCGCGTCATCGCAGAGATCATCGTAAGCCCCTATCCTCCTCATCCTACTTCGTCTTCCTCAGACAATCGTCCCTTTGTTCTTTTACGAGCCCGATGATCAAGGTGGAGAGTGTTGAGAATGCTTCTCCTCTCCTCTTGTCGTGAATCCAAACCCTAATCTTAAAAGAAGATATCAGAGATCTGGACGTTCTGTGTCCCAACAGTATAATGATTTTAGAAGCTAAGAGATCTTAGACATCCACCTGTTGTTGCATCTACGGAATCCTGGTACGACTTGACTTTGGATTCCAACGTGAGTCATATGATTTGACTTTGCGTTGCGTGGCGACGTATACGAGCCAAACCTTTAGTTAAAAGACTGAAACGCCAGTGCCGTGAAATGACAGCAACCTTTGTTGATAGGACACTTATAGCGCTGACTCCGAGGCATTGAATGCACGTCCTATTCCTTTGGTAGGATGGCACAGCGTCGCATGTCGATGTTGCCGACTTTGTTGCATTTATGATCGCAAGAAAACTACAGATATATAATAATATGCTTTATGTGCTAAATGGGGGACGAAATGTTTGCAGGGCGGCATACTGTTGGGGCCCTCAGCGCTGGGCCGCAGCACAAGGTTCACGGAGAACGTGTTCCCGAAGCACAGCATGACGGTGCTCGACACCGTGGCCAACATCGGCCTCATCTTCTTCCTCTTCCTGGTGGGGCTGGAGCTCGACATCCGGGCCATTCGCCGCACCGGCAAGGGCGCCCTGGCCATCGCCCTCGCCGGCATCTCCCTCCCCTTCGTCCTCGGTGTCGGGACCTCTGTCGTCCTCCGCTCCACCATCGTGAAGGGCACCCGCCAGGGCCCCTTCCTCGTCTTCATGGGTGTTGCCCTATCTATCACCGCCTTCCCTGTCCTCGCCCGTATCCTCGCCGAGCTCAAGCTCCTCACCACCGACCTTGGCCGCATGGCCATGTCCGCGGCCGCCGTCAACGACGTCGCCGCCTGGATCCTCCTCGCCCTCGCCATCGCCCTCTCCGGCAACGGCTCCCCGATCGTCTCCCTCTGGGTCCTACTCACTGGCATCGCCTTTGTCACCTGCGTCGCCGTCTTCCTCCGCCCCGTGCTCGCCTGGATGGCCCGCCGCTCCCCGGAGGGCGAGCCCGTCAAGGAGTCCTACATCTGCGCCACCCTCACTCTCGTTCTCGCCGCAGGATTCACCACCGATGCTATCGGCATCCACGCCCTTTTCGGCGCCTTTGTGGTGGGCATCGCCGTGCCCAAGGATGGGCCCTTCGCGGGGGTGCTCATCGAGAAGGTGGAGGACCTGGTGTCCGGCCTCTTCCTCCCGCTCTACTTCGTCTCCAGCGGCCTCAAGACTAACGTCGCCACCATCAAAGGCGGCCGCTCATGGGGCCTCCTTGTCCTCGTCATCACCAACGCCTGCCTCGGCAAGATCGTCGGCACCATCATAGCGTCTGTCGTCGTCAAGGTCCCCATACGCGAGGCCGTCACCCTCGGCTTCCTCATGAACACCAAGGGACTCGTCGAGCTCATCGTCCTCAACATCGGCAAGGACCGCAAGGTCTGATACGTATTCCTCTATTCACAATGTATACACCTTTCCCCCCGTCCTATTAGTATGACTTATGCCGACATTATATCGAACAGGTGCTCAACGACGAGACGTTCGCCATCATGGTGCTGATGGCTTTGTTCACCACCTTCATTACCACTCCCATCGTCATGGGCATCTACAAGCCTGCCCGGCGAGCAGCGCCCTACAAGCACCGGACGGTGGAGAGGTCGGATATGGACAGCGAGCTCCGCGTCCTTGCCTGCTTCCACGGCAGCCGCAATATCCCCACCATGGTCAACGTCATCGAGTCATCCCGCGGCACCCGCCGTCGCCGCCTTACCGTGTATGCCATGCACCTAATGGAGCTCTCGGAGCGGTCGTCAGCCATCTCCATGGTCCACAAGGCCCGCCGCAACGGCCTACCCTTCTGGAACAAGGGGGGCAACGCCGATCAGATGGTCGTGGCCTTCGAAGCGTACCGGCAGCTCAGCGCCGTCACCGTACGCCCCATGACAGCCATATCCGACCTCGACACCATCCACGAGGACATCGTCACCAGCGCTCAGCAGAAGCGCGCCGCCCTCATCCTCCTCCCCTTCCACAAACTGCAGCAGATCGACGGCACCTTCGAATCCATAGGCCACGCATACCATCTCGTCAACCAGCGCGTCCTCCGCCACGCACCCTGCTCCGTGGCCATTCTCGTGGACCGCGGCCTCGGCGGAACCACTAAGATCACCTCCAACGAGGTATCCTACACAGTCGCGGTCCTCTTCTTCGGCGGCCCCGACGACCGCGAGGTCCTAGCCTACGGCACGCGCATGGCGGAGCACCCGGGCGTTTCCCTCATGGTTCTCCGCTTCCTCCCGGCCGCTACAGTGGACCAGGATGAGCTTGCCAAAGATGAGGCCTGCATCTCCAACTTCAGGGCCAATTTGCCATCCTCGTCGGCACCCGATGGGTCGGTCAAGTACGAGGAGACATCGTCTTCGGACAAGGCGGGAATCATAGCGGCCATCAAGAACTTAGGCCGGTGCAACATCTTCATCGTGGGCCGCTCGCCGCCGGCGGTCGCCCTGGTCGAGAAGAGCGACTGCCCGGAGCTGGGACCCGTGGGGAGCTACCTGGCCGCCTCAGAGTTCTCGACCACAGCGTCGGTGGTTGTGATCCAGAGGTACGATCCCAAGGGGGACACGTCCACGCTGGTGGAGGAGGTAGCGGTGGTGCACGATGTGCCCGACACACCGCTGGCCTTTGCCACGCCGGAGTCTTCCCTCCACGACAAAGGAAAAGGCAGGTAGACTGGAAGTTGTGGTCAATAATACCATACCACATCAGGCGGCTTCCCTTTGGCGTTGGAGAGGGAAGCGCGCCTATGGTTCCATGCTTGTCGATCTCTATTGCCGGCCTGTTAGTTCAGCCTTTTCGTCCATACATAGTGGAGTATGCGATGAGCACGGAGTGTTGACGATAGTGTAATGAGGAACAGCATCAGTGTACGCAGGTAGAAGAGGATGATACATGTCAGCATCATGCTCTGCTCTCTTCACTTGTACCACAACCTCACAAAACATTTCCTTGTTACAGAAGTGTACGCAATGAACTTTGTCGTCGCAAAAAGAAACCCTCGTTATATTTTGGCTATAGATTTCCTTCAACAGAATAACGAGATTTCCTTATACAGTTGAAGAAATCTTATCTGGAGACATATCGAAAATATCTTTTTATGGTGATGAATGGATCTAATTATCATAATCACGATCTCTTATTATCTAACTTGAAAGATGCGAGTAGCCATCCACATGTCATAATTCCTAAATCAAATAGTGATCGTGATCTAAGCATATATTGGTGATCTAGGACGAGAGTCTTGGCCTTTTACTCTTATGGTATGGAGCCGAGTCTCTTATAGCACGTAGAGAATGACGAGATGCTGACTTGAAATATGTTTTTTCATATCAGCACTTAAATACCGGTTTATTTGTTTCTTTATGCGGGAAAATAAAGAAAAACTACCCGCGCATATCTCCGTTTGTGTCGGGCAGGATTTGCCATGGACCGAACCGGCCCAAAATGGCTTTATGCTTGCATTCTTGACGCGGATTTGATGTGATGGTTCGACATTTTCGAACCAGACCGGTCGCCGAGTTGATGGGTTGAACCGAGCCCGGCCATCTGTTTCAAGCAATTGATCGCCCAAACCGCCCGAGTCCTGATGAGAACATAGGTGATTATTGTAATTGTGGTCGACGAAAATGACGTAGTGATCAATGAGAACATTGGGTACTTCTGTAGCTTCTCGTAGGAGAGGAGGAGAACGAGGAGAAATAACGACGACAAGAGATGATACAAAGAAAGAGGATGACATCGATGATGACGCTCTACATATGCATTGAAGTTGCGCGATAACTATGTTGGCAAAAAAACAGAGATACAAAATGATGAAAAAACAGTTCGACATCAGCATCGATGCTAACGTGGATGTAGATACAGAGCCCTGCTCGGTATCTATGTCAATGTCATCGCATATATAAAGCGATGTGACTCTTGTCAATTTTTTCTTCATTTGTCTCTTCATGTACAAGGGGGAAGAAGGATGAGTGATACTCGTTATCTCCCCCCCCCCTCCTTACATATATCGATAAAAGGGGGAAGAAGGACAAACGTCACCCCACTCTCCATCTACTTCGAAGTCAATGCAAATACTAAACGATGCTCTGCATTTGCGTCGATGCCAATATAAATGTCGAACGATCATTTCGGCATTTTACATCTATGTCATAATCGACGTAATTATTGAGCGACATCAATAAGAGCATTTCTATCTGTATCGTTCTTTCATCTTCTTCCTTTACATCACATCTCATCGTCCTTTTTCTCTTCATCCTCCTCGGCATGACCCCAAGGCTTTTCTTTCAACGTTATACAATTAATTTATCATAAAAAAATCATCATTGTTATTTGATTTTTAATTTAAATATGATTTTGAAGTGGTAAAAAAAAAGAAGGAAGAGGGCAGAATAGAAATTACAAATTAATTAATTAATTATGTAGATTTTTTATATTGAGGAATCCTTATCCCGACTCCCGGGGTAGCTGAGGGTTTTCGTCGTTCCCTCGCCTCGTCCTCGCTCGCTCTCTCTCGATAGAGTGACGTGAGAGCAAAATGCTGGCGAGCGGCGCTCCTCCTCCTCCCCTTCTTCAGAAGGACCTCCTCTTCTCCTACTCTCTCCAAAGCCCTTTACTTCCTCCTCTGCTTTCTCCGACTCGGCGCCTCTTCGCCCTTCGCCGCCGATGTGGCTGCTCCTTCGAACGCGCCGCTCGAGGGGAGAGGGATGAGTCGCCGGTGGTGGCTGCAGCGTCCGGCCGCCACGGCTACGAGCGTATCCCCATGGAGACGGCCGGCGCTTACCGCCTGGTCGACAGAGAGACTGGGGAGAAGTTCATCGTCTGGGGAGGGTCCGATAACAACGACGATGCCGACACCCCCATCCCCTCCGCGGAGGTCCTCTCTTGGAAACCCCCTACCGCCGACGGTCGACAGGAAGGTGAGCAATCCTTGTCCTCTCCCCCGCTTGTAACCTTCGTCGTTTACAATTCCATTCATGAGGCAGAAACCCTACTTCACGGTCTAAAGAACGCGTAATGAGTTGGTCAAAAACCCGACATGCGATTTTATTTTTTCCTTTTCTTGATTTTGCATTGGAAACTACCAAATCATTTCGTCGAGACATACACATTGTTGAACTGGTCATGATTGGTGAGGACAGGTTGATGGTTGCTGCTTCTTCAGTAAGAGCTGGTCTTCATACTATGAGTTGTTTTATTCCTGATTCTTTCTTGTCAATCGTCTCCTAAGGTTGCAGAGGTTTTTTATACCACAGGAGTTGATGTGACAATGCCTATTGATGAAACCGGCAATAAGAAAGTTGCGCCTGCTGGTGGATCTCGTAGAAGTTTCGGAAGGCTGAAGGCACAGAAGGTGAAGTCCTTGATAAAGAAAACCTCCAAAAATTATATGGATGACTCTAAAATTGGAAGTGTCACGTTTGTTGGAGATTCACCGTCAAGTGATACCAATCGAACAGATTCATTTGGTTGTGGCAGAGCACAGGGTCTGAAGGATTCAGATTTGAAGGACAATTCAGCAGTGAATGAAGAGACTGAAGCCACAAATTCTTTGCGCTTGAATTCTAGAGAAGATGATTATGCTTCATTTCTAGACAGATCTGTTCCAAGGAATGCTTCCTTCAGGGGATGGGGAGGTGCTGCTTCTAATCGGGCTGGTACAGCTGTCCGGTCCAAGCAGCACAAGAAAATGGCTACTAATGCTGGATTTTTTAGCAGGAAATCTTTCAAAGATGTTGGTTGCACTGATGACATGGTTGGTGCTTTGAGGGGACTGACGTTCCTTCGCCCATCTCATATTCAGGTGTTTCTTAGTTTCTGCTGAGAATATTTGCTTTGCTTTTTTTTTTTTTCGATCTATACCGGAAGTCTCACACTATATGATAACCTCTGATCATGGTTGATAGGATGAACCCCTTATAAGTTTGCTTAGTTTCTATGATCTCAGAAAATGATGATACTGTCAAATCTAGTAAATTCGATTAAAGAAAATTTTATGGGTTTCCTCTTATGCAAATATTATATAAATTATCTGTTCAGCGAAATTCTCATATTGGATCCTTGGCTTGCTTCTGAATCTGTTCACAATTATGTCAATGAAATTATCCAAATTGATCACTGGTTTGATTTGGGAATAAAATGACTTGTGAAAACTCAAGCAGTACGTTTATGTAGTTTTTGAATACTGCAGGCAATGGCATATGGACCTATTATAGAAGGAAAGACTTGTATTGTTGCTGATCAGAGTGGATCTGGTAAGACATTGGCTTATCTTGCTCCAACTATACAATGCTTAAGACAGGAAGAGATACTAGGTCTTGGTAAAGCATCATCAAGGAGCCCAAGAGTGATAATATTGGTGCCTACTGCTGAATTGGCTTCACAGGTTGGTATTTGGTGTCACCATCACCAACTTTTTCTCTCTGTGTTTCATCTTTCTGAGGCACCAATAGTTGAAGTTGATCTATACCGTTCAGTTTTGATTGTCTTGTCAAAACTAGCTAGTTTGGTGTAACTAATTAATCAACAGTGAATATAGAATCTTGGCATAATATCTGGTCAATATTGCTAATAGGTGTAATATCTAGTGATAATTAGCACTTTGAGAAACCAAATAAGTGACTATTGACATATTTAAGACAAACACAGATGAATGCCTTTACAAGAGTATCATAAGCTACCAAACACAACAACATCATTGAACAATCTGGCTGTATTATTTGAGCATGAGTTAGAAAGAAATTTATTGTGTTTTGTTTAGTCTTAAAAGCACAAATAAATTTAGAAACCAATTATTGGTCATAGACATGCATGATCATCTATTTGCATGTTCTTGGGATATGGCCAGATAAATAACTCTGTACAGCAAGGGAATAACTCCGATCATGTATAACTCTGTGCCAATCACTTTTATGTTCTCTAAACTCTTTTTGACGTAGGTAATGAAATCAATATAAATTAAAATCGCCAAACTCACAAAAATTGTTAAATGAGAAGTCCACAGGGCCTACATTGAAATGGAAACCGACAATTTGTCCCTTTGTTGTTATGGTCTGTGACTCTGTAGTTTTGATTTTGACAATTTGTCCCTTTGGTCCTTTTTTTTATACTTTCATGTCTTAGTTTTCTTCTCCTCTGTGATTGCATGCTTGATTTGGACTCCCATTTTGATTGTGGATTGCTTTTCCTTTGTCCTTCCTCCAATACAATGGTTGCCTAAAAAAGTGGATGATTTGGAGTTGGCTTTTCTGGGAATCGTAGTGATTTTTCTTCTTTTGCTTTTTCTCATTTTCTGTCATTGGCTGCCTTTTCACATGCACTTAATAATTGGCTTTCTTGTTATTGTTCAATAGTTTGTTCCTTTTCTTTCGCCATGTTGATCATTGCTTAGTGAGTTGGATTTGCTTTTGCATATTCAAAGTAGAAATGGGTGTTGCCGATGGTATTGTGTCGGATGGAGTAGCATGAATTTGATATATATGAATGCAGTGCATGTGATGCATATTGATGGAACTGCTGAAATAAAATTTAGAATTTCACTCAAGTGTTTGTGAATGACATGGAACTTCTATTTCTGATGTTAGCGTTTGACTTTGCCTGAACCTTTTATATTTGCAGGTTCTTAGTAATTGCCGGTCAATAGCAAAATATGGTGTCCCATTCAGATCTATGGTTGCAACAGGCGGCTTTCGACAGAAAACTCAGCTAGACAATCTTAATGAAGAATCCGATGTACTCATTGCAACACCTGGCCGTTATATGTATCTGCTACAAGAAGGCTTTCTGCAACTAACGAACCTTAGATGGTAATCCGTGTTTGCATTTTTCAGTTATTGCTATATCAAAGCATCACGGTTAAATTTAATTTTGATTGGAATTCTTTTGGTTTGCTTTATGTGACTGCAGAAATGTTCTTTTGTACAGATCTGAACTGGCATGGTTCTTAATGTACCTTTGCTGAAAGGTTAATGTAGCTTCCATAAACAACAATCTGTTTTGAACTAAAAGTTCTAAAAGAAATAGCAAAAGTTTTTAAGTCACAGTATGTTCTCGGGAGTTTTCTAAGACAGTATCAAGCACACAAAAGTAAAGTTGTTTCTTGTGAGGTTGCAATGTAAAAAAAAGAATAGAGCTTGTTTAAACACCTATGAACTAATCTCTTTAATACATGCAGTGTTGTCCTTGATGAAGTGGACATCCTATTCAGAGATGACGGATTTGAACATGTTCTTGAGAGCTTCATCAGTTCTGCACCAGTGTCGGCACAATATCTTTTTGTTACTGCAACTCTTCCAGTTGATATCTATAATAAAGTGGTTGAAATATTTCCGGACTCTGAAGTAATCATGGGACCTGGCATGCACCGTACAAGCTCCGGTCTCGAAGAGGTTAGTCTTCCATTATCTGCTTGTTTCTACCTTGAAGTGACGTGTAAAATCATTGATTCTGGCTACTTAACAAATGGGATGTAAAATCAGTCTTTAGGTGTAGCCAAGCTGTAATTATGGCCGATAATTGGTTCTGGCAACTGAATGAATGATTGTGGAATACTTGATATTTTTAATTGTAGATTGTGTGTTTATATACACAAAAAATCACATTCACCTTCAATTTATCAAAGTAGAAATACAAAATTGTTTTCTCCTACTTCGTGACTGCTCCCAATTTTAATTTTAATGAAATATTTAATATCACTTGCCAGACCAACCGTCGGCAACCCCGAAAAATATTTCATCATAATTATCATTCTTGTACTTTGTCCATTTGTATAACACTAGTGGTTGAACAACTCAAGCCCCAGGTTACTTGGAATTGTGGACAGGAATTTTAGGCCAACTGGCAATTGACATCAACCCTCCTGATTCAATGACAAATTTATAGCCAAGGTTAGGCAAAGATATGTTTGCAGAAAACATAAGAGGCTAGTTGGTGGTTAACAAAATCTGAGTTTTGGCTGCTTTTTTGACAAAAGAAATAATCATCATCACCTTCCCCACTTGATGACAGAACTAAAATCAGATGTCTTCAAATTTCATATATATTCTTTAGATATTTCCATTTTTATATAATTGGAAGAGAAACTGAATTGTGATGTTTGTGATCCTGATTTGGTTAGTGAATATTCTGAAAGCTTCTCTGCAGAATTTTCAGATACCATTAATTTCTTTATATGAAACATGTTCTTATTGACTTTGTAAATATCTTATCACTTTATTCTTCAATTAGATGAATGGGGGCCATTTCCTGTAGCAATTAACTTGATTTGGAACTTTTAATGACTAACATTATTCACTTGCAGGTTCTTGTTGACTGCAGTGGTGCTGAAGGGGAGGAGAAGAATCCAGATACTGCTTTTCAAAATAAGAAATCTGCTCTTCTGCAGCTTTTAGAACTGCCAGTTCCTAAAACTATTGTTTTCTGCAATAAGGTAACATTGAATTTCTAAATTTATGTTTTGACTAATTAGAAACATGGAAATTATAAACATAATTCAAAATGAGTAATGAATGTACGTGTAGGAGATCATTATTTTCATGCTGACTGGATGTAGTATTGTTTTTCTTACTTTGGCAAATTTAAAGATCCATTTAAAAAGAATGCATCTTAGCGTAGGAGCCCTTCATACTTCAAGTTGGCATCTTCATTTATAATATTAGGCAATTATTCCTCGAGCTTTGCAGATTGAAACCAACCGGGCATCTCCTTTTCATGATAAGCAGTTACCTTGTTTTGTTCCACAGATTGAAACCTGCAGAATGGTGGAGAATGTATTGAATCGCTTTGATAGGAAAGGATCACAAATCCAAGTCTTGCCATTCCATGCTGCCATAGCACAGGAAATACGCTTATCAAACATGAGAGAGTTTCTCAACTCACGTTCAAAAGATTCAAAGTTTCTGATCTGCACTGACAGGTAATGGAAATGTGGCAAATATTGTATTCATTAGTTCAACTTTTTCTATGTAGCTTGAATTAGAAAACAAGTTATAAAAACACATCTGAGTTATAAAAGGATCACAAATCCAAGTCTTGCCATTCCATGCTGCCGTAGCACAGGAAATACACTTATGAAACATGAGAGAGTTGCTCAATAAGCTACAATGCTGGTGTTCAGATAGCAGTTTAGATGGTTAACTTTTTTCACATGTCCTTTACTCTTTTAAGTAATATAGTTTCATGGCTGCTGCACTAATGAACTTTTTACCATATCTCATTCGAGTTATCATTCTTTGATTGTGCTGAAATAACCAATTGCAGCGAAAGGCATAGACTGATAAACTAATATTGCATGCTGAGGTAGGTATAATAGCATAGTTCTTTTTTAACCATGCACATTAATTAATGATATATTGTAATCCTTGGTTATCTGCTACTGTGTCTCAGATCAAAATTAATGTTACAATTCTTTTCGTCATGCTTTCTACCCTTCTACTTATATTTGTTTTTTCTGTTCTTCTAATGCTTCTGTTGGAAAAGAAGAAAAAAAAATAGTCTTTTCTTCCTAACTGGTATTTGATGATCTTTCGACAGGGCATCACGAGGCATAGACTTTGCAGGTGTGGACCATGTGGTACTCTTCGACTTCCCTCGTGATCCTAGCGAGTATGTCCGCCGTGTCGGGAGGACAGCTCGTGGTGCCGGTGGCAAAGGCAAGGCCTACGTCTTTGTCGTAGGCAAGCAGGTCTCCTTGGCCAGGCGGATAATGGAAAGGAACAAGAAGGGCCATCCATTGCATGATCTACCTTGTGCGAGTTTGGCGCCATAGGTGACTCCGCCACTTCTCTCTTTTCCGAGCTGACAATCATCTGTATTGTATATCACAGAGGCTGAACAATGTTTTCGTTACCTCGTACCGATAGCGAGACACATCCAAGAGAAGCTCTCAAATGTTGTAAGCAACACCCCCACCACTGATCCTGACTTGCTGTACGATTGGTTGAGGTAATCTTTCTGGCATCTTCTTTTATCTCCTTAAATTCCCATAAAATCTACTATATCAGTTTTAAATAGCTAATCCTTGAATTCAGAAAACCCAACTTAATTTCTATCCGCTGGTTTTCGGATTGGCGAACCACTAGCAAATAAACCAATCAAGTGGACAAACTCTTGTTACTTATAAGAAGGTTGCTGAAAGTTCTCTTACGTGTGGATTTATGGAATGAGCAAGTGAATTTGTTAGCCTGCTTGGTAAAAATTTTGATAGATTATAACCATCATGAAGAAGTGGTCTATGATAAGGAAGTCGTTCAACGACATCATCAGTTTCGACAAGTGTTGACTACGTCAACATCTAACATAAACGCTACCAAATCAGGTAATATGGTTGTTCGTAACTTGGGTTTCCTTTTTTTTCCAAGGTCAGTTATTCCTCCACTCATTATGGCAATATGTTGTTGGTTAATTGTACCTTATAACATGGAATTAATATGCTCCAAGTGATATGTGAAATAACAAAATCTAATACAATTATGGTCTAACTCGGCATTAAACTATATAAGAGATCTGAAATCTCGACCCTAAACTATGTAAGAGATCTGAATTCCTGACCGAAATAAACCTCGAGAGCATAAAAGTGATTCAGTTTACCATTCTAATCATTTAGAACATTAAAAAAAAAAATCAAAATACCATTAAAACTCCTTCCTTGAAAAGATTTTGTTTAAAAAAAAGAGACTACTATAGCATCCATATGAGTTAAGATGAGACTTCGTCTGGACGGAGGTTAAGATGTCAGCCAGGTTGACAAAGATAATAATAATATGGCAATCATTCAAGGGTGACATGTATACCATGTGAAGATGAAGATAAAAACTGCAATTAAACATCCACACGTCATAATTCCCAAATCAATTACTGTTCGGGATTTAAGCATGCAGTGGTGATCATGTGATGAATAGTACGTGTGTGCCGGATTTGACTTCAACTAGGACAAAGACCTTTATGGGCTGAGCCGAGCCCGGCCATCTGTTTCAAGCAATTGATCGTCCAAACCGCTCGAGTCCTGATGAGTGCACATCAACCATGTCACCGTCCCTTTCATACGTCACCATATACGGCAGCATGCTGTGCTCAGTCAAATTAATTTCTTGATATTTATTGTCATAGACTATTAATTTTGTCAACCATTCTCTGAGTCAACGCAATTCGGCCTGCTCACTTACGTAGATGAACCTTCTTGTGCCCACGGTTTAGAGCCCGTGGCTTTCCCCAGGGTGAGTGAGGGCAGTTGGGGACCCATGACGAAGCGTAACCCCGCATACTCCTATGTGTTAGGCTTCTCCATCATCACCGAGCCCAACATGGAGAACAACAACAGCGAGAGAGAGAGAGAGAGAAAGAGAGAGAGAGCGCGAGCGGTTGAGGCGGGTATGTGATGGACCCGGTGGGCCCACCGACTCCTTCACGGATTCCGGATCTTCTTTGGCCTGTACTTAAGTGAAATCCCGCTTCGAACCCGCCAATTAGGGTTTCTTTCCGCCCGTTTGATTTGAATGACCGAAACCCCCCAAAAAGGGGCAACTTTCCCGAGGCCATCAAACCCATCCCGCCTCAAATGTCGGAGGGCAACCGGCGGCCGACTCCACCACACCGACCCAGGCCGCGCCTCCCTTGTTCTCCTTCTTCCCAGTTCAACGGTACCGGCTGGCTCGCGCGCGGCGCCGTTGACGCTCGTGGATCGGTCTCTGCTGCTTAGTAGTGGCCCCTGCACGGAAAAAGTCTCTGCCTTCCTTCCCAAGAAAACGTGGGCAATCATGAAGATTCAAGACGAAGAAGAGATCAAATACTACTGAGCCTACCTCCTCCTGCTCGTCCTCCTTAGCGTGTTCTCCAATCTCGATCTGGTGAGCGAGTTAGTAGCTGCCGGTTCGTTTGGATGCCCAGCATGGCGGCGATGGCATTGGAGCGGCTGTTGGAGCCAAACGGGGGTCAATCCGCCGTCGCCTTCTCTGCCTCCGACCGAGATCTCCAAGCCGAGGATGACGACAACAGCAAGAAGTATCTCTCGGCTCGTCAGCAACTCTTTCTTTTCTCCCCGGAGCTCGCTTTCCCTAATTCCTTCCCACCCTCTCGCGACTCCTCCCCCTCCGCCTTCCCTCGTGTCCTTAACGGAAATATTTGTAGCCTGAGCAGCAACAACACCGGCGCCTGGCCCGTCTCTTCAGGTTGTGGTGGCTTCCGGTTTCAGCGGAAGCGTGATGCTCATCGGGGAGTTGAGTTTTGCTTGGCTGCAGGGAAGCTGCCGATGGACAGACGTAAAGGCAACGAGGAGAGCGGCCGCTTGGATGCCTCTTGCAGAGGGGAGGAGAAGGGAACAAATGGACTGGAAAGGGAAGTCCTGGACAGGGACGTTGGTGAAGATGACGATGAAGATGGTTTCTGGAGCCCTCGTGAGACAAGGAGCGTTACGAGCTGCTGCAGTGGCGAAAGCTCCGCAGGATTTGGGAGCCGCACACCTAACCATACCGAATTCTATGATGCCATTGAAGGTATTATCTTCTCTCATACCCAAAATCTATATCTTTTTTGTGCATCTTTCTTTTATACACTTGATATGTCTTGAGATGATGAAATGGTGTTCTTCTCTGATGATGCCTCGCTTTTAGCTTGATTGATATGTTCGTTGTCATAGCGGTTGTTAACATTAAATTTCTTGCTTGAGCATTCTTAGTTTCAGTTGGTCCTCGTTATTCTAGAAGTGCTTATTGTGGTGGCAGATGCCTGCTACAAGTGAATCTGTGAAAGTTCCCCCTATTTAGTTTCTTTTCCAGTAAAGTGTATGTTAAGTTTACAACTACAGATTTCATGAATTATGTCACTGTTTTAAATACCGCCTTCCATCAGATATGCTTACATGGTTTGTGGTTCGATTTGCTGGATTTAACTTGATAGCTATTTAATAAGCTAGTAAGGCATATTTGCATTATAAATCTGAGCATAGGAAGTGCCAAGGCATATGTTCATGGGTTTATGTGGAAAGCTGTTAGTGTTCCCTTGTTTATTCTTAATAAAGTAATATGTGGGCATTGCTTTGAACTCTAGATCCTATATGTTTGTGTTGGATTGGAGTCTTTATTTCAAGGGCCTTGGCCACATAGAGGTGTATTTGGCTAATAAGATTTTTGTTTTTTAGTGGTCGTCTTGTCTATTGATCAAGAACACAAAAAGGAAGTGCCATTACAAGAGATAGAGGTGCATTAAGGAAAGAGAAATGTTGAAACAATCAGTAAAGCCTTCATCCTTTTGTATATTAACTATGGACAAGATAAATGATTTTACAAAAAGGAAATTGTTAGTACTCTTTCTTTAACAATTTGGTGTTTTCAAAAGTGTTTTGTCTCTAGATGATGTTTTAAAAATTAATGATAAGAAGGTTTTCAATAACTTCCTACATTTTTTTTAAGCCCCAAAAACGAAAATATAATCTGCGATGACAATCTAAAAAAAAGCAAAATATTTCCTACAGAATAAATATTAGAAGATATTTTTTATGAAAAATCATTTATGTATGGGCAACCGAACTTGTTTTTAGTACATCTTTTTTTTATTGACTGGAGCAAAGAAAAAAGCTCAATGTGAGCTAATTGGCTTGATCATGAGACCCATATATAGAAAAAATTACTTGATTGATTCAACCTAAGGATCAAAGTGGTTCTTGAAAGTGTTCACATTTTGGTTAAGACCTCAGCTTAAAGAAGCAGGTTTGGCAGTTTTTTCTGGCATCAGGTTGTAGGATGAGATATAGATATAGAAAAATGAAGAGGAAAAAGAAGCATTTTGGTCTGTTCTGGAAAAGAGGAACATAGAGCATTATTTCCAACCCTCCTCCATCCTTGTTTTTCTCTCTCTTTTTTTTAAAAAAGATTCTTAGTTTATGCACAATTTTTGATGCAAAATATATTCAGATTTCTAACAAATTGAAGTTGCAAACTCAGGTCTTTTAAGTGTATTAGATCTTTATGTTGTTAAATCATCAGAACTGACAGCAGTCCCTAATTGATATCTGGAGATTAGATATGTTTGATCTAAATTATAAACTGTAAATTGATGTCCTTTTACTTAATTTTGGCTACCAAGTTTCTCAAATTAAACATTTTGAATCTGACTGCTATGGTTTTGCAGATTTCATCTCAGATGGTTCTGCTTCACAGTCATCTCTGTCCTCGAGTATAAAATATGAAAAGGAACTATGCACTTTACGGGTCGACCTTATTGAAGAGATTGAGAGACGAAAGACAACTGAGATGGCCCTTCTCCATATGCAGACCCAGTGGGGGAGATTAGCAGAGAGTCTGTCTCAAATTGGAGTTACATATCCTGTAAGCCAGCAAGCTGGAGGATTTCAGCTTGAGATAGATCCTGCAGAACTCTGCCAGGAGATTCTAGTTACAAGATATGTTTCTGAAGCTGTTGAAAGGGGTTTGGCCCGGGCTGAAACTGAAGCAGCTGCACAGGCAGTTGTTGATATGAAGAACCATGAGATATCTCGGCTGCGAGAACGAATTCACTATTATGAGGCTGTGAACCGTGAGATGTCACTGAGGAATCAGGAAATCATCAGTAAGTCCTTTTGCATTATTTCATTTACATTTGAATTCTTTATGTAGACAGCTAAACTGTTCTTTGTTTTTCTTCAACATACTAGTGCATCAATAATTTTAGAAGAGAAATCACATAAAACCTAACTTTAGTTTGTTTATTTTTTTCCCTCTTTTTTCGATGCCGTGCTTTGTATAAAATCATTCACATCAGTCTTCTAACCCTTTCATTTTTCTATTATGGTAGTAGGAACTCTTTTTTTCATCATGGTTCTACGACATCTCATGTGTTTGATCAAAAGATATTTGCATCCAAGATCATGCATGATTGACTGTTTACGATGTGTTCACAGAGTTGGCTCGCCAAAATCGTGTAAGAAGAAGACGGCAACGAAGATGGATTTGGAGCGGCCTCGGCTTGGCTGTCCTTGTTGGTGCTTCTATGCTTGCATCCTCACATCTAGGGTACACTGTCGACGACCTGCTTACCTTGGTCTACCATAATTCTGAGGATGCATCTTGCGATGGTTCAGATTGACGTACCTGCTTTTAGACTGTTAATATAGCTTTGTGTCTTAGATCATAGAATCAAATGTAGTGCAGTCGAAGCTTCTCTTATGAAGCTAAACCTCGTGTTAAAATTATCTGTCATCCTTAGAGTTTGAATGATTAGAATATGTAGATTTTTGCAGTAGGAAGACGATGACTCTCTTCTTAGGCCCAAACAACACAAAACACTCGCATGATGAAGCTACTCTTGATGTGTATATAAATGGCAATGGTTGTCGGGAACCAGCATGATGGTTATATGCTTGAATTTATGTGATCCATGATATTTAAGTTCAAGTTAATTGCTAATCTTTTATATAATCATATTCCTTTTCACTCATTTATGGATCCATGGTGAGATATGTTACATTAGAGCATATGACTTTGGTTAGCGAAATGAGTTTGCGAGTCCTTCGATTCATGGCTAAACTAGCGGCATAGATCGTCCCGAAGTCATGGTCGATTTGCAAGTGGGTCATTTGCCTTTAGGCCCATTATTTATAAGGTTAATTATATATTATCTTTTGTATTTAGATTCTATTAGTATCATGCTCTTTGTATTTAAAAAATTTATATTAAGATTTTTATAGTTTTGAAAGTGAAACAAATAATTTTATTTATTCTAACAATATTAGTTGTATTGATGAAAAACATAACACGTGATATCATGATTTAAATCGGTAGAAAATGATGAACAAAAAAATAATTTTAATATTTTATCTATTTTTAACATATGAAATTTTAAAATTATTTTTTTATTGATAAAATTATTAAAAATAAAAATATTAAAATTATTATTTTTATCTATTATTTTTATATCGATCCTAATGTCATTTGTTTATAGCGTTAGGATAAATAGAGTTATTTATTTTAATTTTAGAATTATAAAAATTTTAATATAAAATTTTTAAGTATAGAAATTACGTGCTTAATGAGATCCATATGTAATTAGCTCTTATTTATATTATATGGGTCAGGAGGACGTTTCCAACTACCTATTTGATGAAATTACACGCACGCTCGCCTGCTACATTGTTTAAGCGTAGCCATGGGGTGTGGTGTGCAAACGTAGCGCTGCCTTCTGCTTCCGCCCACCCTGTCTTCCTTCCATTCTTGAGATCCATATCTCTCCCGCCTCCGCTTACTCCGCTCGCCCACAAGCCAAAATACCACCCCTTTTCCTCAAACTTGTCCTCCTCCTCCGCTGCTTTCTTTCCCTTTACTTCTTCTCCTTCTTCTTCTTTCTCCTCCCACAAGCTAGTCAGAATCCGAGGGAAGGGAAAGAACGGATCTCTTCCCTTGCCCTGTCAATGTAACACCTGTTTCCCTTGTTCCGTACGTTGTTCTTCTCCCTCCCCCTCGCCTTCTGCAGAATGGGACAGGCTGAGGCTACATGGTGTCTCTTTGTCCGGTCTTTCTCTAGTCTGTTCATGGAGTCCAAGATTCCGACGAACGTGTCCTGCGACGTCTGAGCTGCGCCTTCATTACCGTTTGTTGCTGCGCGCAAGCCTGCTGCTTCTTCCCCTGTCGTCGTGGTCGTTGGAAGAGTAAGCACCAAAGAGTATGGAGGAGGAGGACGGGAAGAAGGTCTCGGGGTGTGGCCTTCTCGTCCTTTACAATAACATCTTCCGCCGCGGGACCGCGAGCTCGAGCCCCGGGCACCCCACGTCGGCCGCCGAGAGCCCGAAGCTGACGGCGTCCGACTCCAAGCGCCGACGCGCCGCGTCCGACGAGGCCTCCCTCCTGGTGCCCGCGAACGCGTCCCATTTGCCCGTCGCGCCGGCTCCGCAGAATCCCAAGGCGGTCGCCCCGGGCTACCTCAAGGCCTCCGGAAGGCCGGCTGGCGCGCCCGCGGGCAACGCGGGCCGCGCGCGCAATCTCGGCCTTGCGGGCGAGCTCGACAGCATGATTAACGATCACCAGCGCTCCATGGGCAGCAGCACCCTCGTCCGCGCGTCCTCCGGCAACGTCATGGTCTTCAGCAACCTTGGCAACATCCGGGCGCCCGGCGCCGTCACCCCCAACCGGAACGTGCTCGATTTCCTGCCCAAGACCGCAAGCGAGAAAGGGGGGATCCCCGACGGCAACCAAGGGCCCAGGTACACCAATGGCCCCGCAGGCCACGCCCCGAACAGCAGCGCCGTGGAGGTCGCGGCGCCCGAGGGGCTGTGCCGGGCTCTGTCAAAGAGACTGGAGCCGGAGGAGCTGAAGGAGATGGGCAACGAGGAGTACAAGAAGGGGAGATACGCCGAGGCGGTCGCGCTCTACGATCGCGCCATTCTTATCGATCCGGGCAAAGCATCGTACTGGAGCAACAAGGCTGCTGCCCTCATGGCCATGGGCCACCTTCTCGAGGCCGTCAGTGATTGCAGAGAAGCAGTACGCATCGATCCTTCTTATGCCAGGGCGCATCGGCGATTAGCTACATTGTATCTCAGGTATGCAACCTGCAACTCGGACATCATGCTCTTCCTACTTGGGATCTTTGATCTGTGATGAACTCGTCTTAGGTTGGGAGAAGCTGAGAAGGCAATCCACCATTTCAAGCTAGCACGAAATGAGACGACCTCTGAGGACATTGCGCAAGTACATCGCCTCCAAAACCATCTCTCCAAGTGCAACGAAGCCCGCAAGCTACGGGACTGGCACTCGGTGCTGAAAGAAGCTCGTTCTGCTGTCTCTTCCGGTGCCGATTCATCTCCCCAGGTCTCTCAGTTACACTCTCTTACTCATGCAGAGATGATGCACTTCCGATTGATATATCTATCCGAGCTACTAAATCTTGTCTGTTGTGTTCCAAAGATCGTGGCTGCTCATGTAGAGGCCCTCCTAGCGCTCGGCAGGCAGGAGGAGGCAGAAACGACATTGAATTGCGCCCCAAAGTTCAACATCGATGCGTCTACAAAGTTCTTTGGGGCTTCCAGAAGTGCACATCTGCTCTCAGTCAGAGCACAGATTCACTTGGCTACAGGAAGGTCAGAACCAAACTCTGTGCTCCTCTTCTACCAGATCGAAGAGTATGCAGATCGTTTATGCTTGGATTTTGTTTCTGTAAGGTTTGAGGATGCTGTTGCCGTAGCTCAGAAGGCTGCTCAGATCGAGCCGAGCAGCAGAGAGGTCGGTGCGGTGGCCCGGAAGACTCGAGCTGTGGCATCAGCTCGTTTGACGGGGAATGACCTCTTCAAGGCTTCCAAGTTCAGGGAGGCTTGCGTGGCGTACGGGGAAGGCCTCCACCATGACCCCCAAAACGCGATTCTTCTCTGCAATCGGGCGGCGTGCCGGTCGAAGCTTGGGCAGTGGGAGAAGGCCATCGAAGACTGTAATGCTGCTTTGAACATGCGTCCTTCCTACACCAAAGCTCGTCTCAGAAGAGCCGACTGTAATGCAAAGGTAATTTATCTTCTCCGATGCGTGTTCCGCAACAAAAGGATAGGACTGAAATCTTTATGTCCGGCAACCAGTTGGAGCGGTGGGAGGCATCAGTGCAAGACTACGAAGCACTGATCGACCAGCTTCCGGGCGACGAGGAGGTGGGCAAGGCATTGAGTGAGGCTCGACAGCAGCTCAAGAAACAGAGAGGTGAAGGCAGTATGGACACCAAGGTTGGTGCCAACTTCGTCCGTGTCACTAACAAAGATCAACTCAAGCAGTTCATCATGGCACCAGGTAAGGGTCATCATCCACTGTTCTATCAATGACTCGGTGGAGAATGAGAGAAACCTTGCTTCATTTGTGTTTTGGCAGGGATCACTGTTGCATTAGTCTTCAACAAATCTAGTGAACTTCCAAGCCAAACAATTCCTTTCATGGAGAAAATGTCCAAGCAACATCCCACTGTTAATTTCCTCGCGGTTCGAGTCCTATCACGACACTCCTCAAAATTTTCCATCTTGTATATCATCTCACATGAATCGTCTCAAGAATTCTATGAGGGTTTCTATCTTTTCGTTATCGAGACCTCCATGTCCAAAAGCTTCTTTTCATACTTCATTTCTTTGTGTTTCGAGTAATCTAGTCTTTGATCAAATTAATTTCGATCATAAATCTAAGAATATGATAACAAGTGCATCTCTCTTTTCGGATTTCTCATGTATCATGTTCCTGCTTGCAGATGGATCTCAGCCAAAGCCCGTTGTTGGAGGAGTACGGTAGCTATGGGCCGGTGGCGTTCAAGGTGTACAAGAACGGCTCCACGGTGAAGGACATCGATGGGCTCGACCAGGAGCAGCTGGAGAGCTCGCTCAGAGCACTCAGCAAATGAGGAAGTCAGCCGACCAAATCAGAGAAGAAGTGTAAAGATAGCGAAGCTGTACAGTGTCTGAACAACCCTACCCCGTGGTGGTGCAGATCGCCACCACCGTCTGTCTCCTCGAGTTCATCTGCTGCAGCCAACATTTGGGGAAGGAAAGCACATGATAGAACTAGTAGAGCCTTTTTGTTACTCATCCGACCCTGAACAATGACTCTCTCTCTCTCTC